AGAGCGGCCTACAAACATGGCCACTGAAGACTACAACATCCAACAACTATCACCGTCCTACTGATTACACACACCTGGACTCACTTACACCATCATGCCAACAGTATATGAGGACATTCATTCCACCACCACCACAGTGTGAAGTATACCCTCATACCAAGCCTTTATCTTGCCATAGTGGTTTCTGGTCACGGTTCCTGTTCTGGTTATTTGGTCTATGTCTTTGTCTTTTGCCCTGGTTATTCTGATTGCACATCGCCTGACTACTTCCTGCATCCTGACCTTGATCTTGCCTCACATTTTGGATTTGTTTGCCTGTTGTTTTAATACAACTCTGAACCTGCAACTGTCTCCGTCTCCGCCACCTGACAGATTACATGAATTGACAAGCATGCACACAGGTTCCTATGGCCAAAAGAAAAAAAAAAACACAAGAACAACAACAAAACCAAAAACAAATAAAAGCCAGTCCAGCAAACAGATTTCTTCATTCCACAACCAATAAATCTCAGAAGCACACTTGATTAAATTATTGTCTCTCTTTCTGCTTTCCATTTGATCACCGAATCTTCTAAAGGATGCTTTTGCACAGCAGATGCATTGATTCAACTTATGCTGCGTAGAACACGCCACTGAAAATTCATTCAATCATTGAAGCATTCTTTTGCTGGCTAGGCATGAATGCAAATGTACCAGAGGACAGCAGTGAGTTTCTGATGAAGGACAGATAATCCTGTATTTATTAGCGCTATTACAGAGTGTTTTGTTAACCTACAATGGCCACATACATACCACACAGTCAACATCATACATCTGAAATAGATGTGGTATGAAATATTCATACAATGAAAAACCATGGAAACCAATATTACAGTTTTTTTCAGTATATCATAATTATCTGTTTACAATTTTGCATTTTCAAAGAGACATCACATTTTGATTCCTAGCATATTTTTGAGCATTTTCTACTATTTCTGCCTTTGTATCTTTAAGTAGTGAGCTATATAAAACACTCATTCATTCTGTACTTTCATACAACCCCTGGCAAAAATTATGGAATCACCACACTTAGAGGATGTTCACCCAGCTTTTTTACTTTAAAGCAAACAAACAAATCACAGATATGACACAAAAAAGGTTTTGTTCAATAGCTTAACATTCTGGCTTTGTGAAACATACATCAAAAAAATTCACTGACATTTTTTTTATTAATGGGATGTCATTTTCCAAA